AGCTGATGCAGTCAGACACCCAGACCCAGCTGATGCAGTCAGACACCCAGACCCAGCTGATGCAGTCAGACACCCAGACCAATGGTGGCTGCATTCATATTCTCAAGTGGAATATTCAAAACATTTTCATATATTAACAATTAACATCATCAATATCCTAAGATTAAAGATGATAAATACAGAAGTGATGCTTTCTTCAGAGCTAGATTTGGTGTTTTATGGAGTAAAGAGAAAATGATGCGTCTCTATAAGTCATCTAGGAGTCTTCAGTGAAATCATAGATGAATAATTATTTTAATAAAAACTTATTAAAAAATAATTTATGTAGATTTTAGTTCTTGTAAATATCAATTTTATGCAGAATGATTATTGTTCTCGGCAGAAGTCAAACCTGTTGGAACAGAACAGACTTCTTTCTAAAGCATGTGGTGAAGCTGCTCAGTTCCTTTCATTTAGAGTCTCTTATTGGGTCACAGCTGAACTGAAGGTGAAACGATTAATGACTTCCATTCATCTGTTACGATTGGTTGATATTTGTACGGATCAGGATTTAGGAAGCAGAAATCATTTGACTCACATGCTGTTTGAGCACCAGGTTCTTCACCCCCTCCATGACGAACTGGGAGCCGGTATTCATTACTCTGGAGAAGAGCCTGCAGAGGAACAGCGGAGGAGAGCTGGATGAGCCTGGAGTCAGGAAGAGGAGGAGGACAGGGCTACGCTGGTGATCTTCCTCCAACCAGCATAATCCAGGCCCAAAAGCAACGAAATACGTCAGGACTAGTTCAGTTCTTCCATAAAGGGGAGATTGATTTCATGTTTCTCAGCAGCGTCTGAAGGCCACAATGTTTCCCGTCATCATTTCTGATCTTTAGGCCTAATTAGGGCAAAACAAGCTGCTGACAGGAAGCGAAGCGACGCCCCGAAAACGAGCACATCTCAAGTTTTTAAGGGAATCATTAAAACAATGCAAGTAAAAGAGGTAAAAAGAGATAATATTCAATGAATGAAAAGAGTTTTTTAATCAAAGTGGATTTAAAGCAAATATTGTTGAGTTAAAAGAAAACATGATGCAAAATTTTATTAAATTTATTCTTTATAATCCTGATAATCAAAATGTGTTCATTTTTGGTTGGAACCATCAAACAATCATGGTTTCCAGCCAGTGGCGAAAAGCAGAATGTGAAATAAGGTTCGACCGTTTCCTGCAGGACAGGAAATCATTTTCACTCTGCAGAAATCAGGCTGGCTAAGAGGCTCCACTCACCCCATCGGTTTGACTCCACTGTTGCCGTAGTTAGCGGGGTTAGCAGCCATTTTAGTGAAAGCCCTGAGGTGAAAACACAAAGACAAACAGAAGGTGAGCGATCCAACACAACCGAGCGTTCTACCGAACACAGCTCTAGTACTGAGAGGACGGAAAAGCCAGTTTATTCTGTGGTTTGTTTCAGAAAAAGGTTCCTAATGCAGAACATCCTCAGCTCCACAATATGAGAGGCCGACCGTAACTTCACAGGAACGTTCACTTCTTCTACCGTAAAAAAAGATTATGGACAGGAAGAGTTTTAACTGGCCTCTTTAGTTCACCACAAACTAACCTAATGGCTGAAAACCAAGCATTAATTAAACCAGCTGTTTGTATGAAGCAACGATGAAATGATCTTTATTGGTCTGATTTACAGTCTAATAATGATTTAATTCAGAAACAAAATCAGTTTATCAGGTTTATGTTCTGCTGGAAGGAGAAATAAACCAATTTATCTGGCTGTCCTGATATAAAATATAAATATCTTCTAAACGATCCTACCTATTAACTAGTTTAGTCTTAATTATTTAGTATCCTCCATGTTTAACTAGTTCCCTTAATTTTTTAATGAGATTTATCCATGTTTAACTTGTTGCCTCCATATTTAACTATTACCATTGTATTAAACTAGTCCCCTCCATGATTAACTAGTCCCCCCCTTTTTTAACTAGGTCACTCCATGTTTAACTAGTTCCCTCCATGTTTAACTAGCCCCTAATTTTTTTTACTAGTTTCCTCAATTGTTTAACTAGATTCCTGCATTTTACTAGACCCCCATTTTAACTAGTTTCCCAGTTTTTTTTACTAGATTCCTCTATGTTTAGTTCCCTCTATACTAAACTACTCCTCCTCTATTTAACTAGCCCCTAATTTTTTTTACTAGTTTCCTCAATTGTTTAACTAGATTCCTGCATTTTACTAGACCCCCATTTTAACTA